GAGAGAGAGAGAGATGGCGAGGTGGTGTGTCCTTGTGATGGTGGTAGCTCTTACTTTGGCTCATGATGCTAACTCTAGGAAGGTGCCCGAGCAAACGAGTGTGAGAACCGTGAGAGCGGCTACCAGCCCAGCGGCCAGTGCTGTCGATGAGCAGAAGAATTTTGTGGCTTTTGGAGGCGTTGGTGGCTTCGCTGGAGCTGGCGGCATCGCTGGAGTCGGTCTGCCGTTTTACAATGGTGTCGCCGGCGGGGTTGGTGGATCCGGAGGCATCGGTGGACTCGGAGGCTGGGCTGGGCTCGGGGGAGTAGGAGGTGCAGCAGGACTTGGTGGTGGCGGGTTGGGTGGTGTTGGTAGCCTTGGTGGAGTGGGTGGTGGTGGTGGCGGTGGATTCGGCGGTGGCGGCGGCCTTGGTCATAGGGGTGTTGGAGGTGGTGTAGGGGGTGGCGGTGGACTCGGTCATCATAGGAGTGTAGGCGGCGGAGGTAACCTTGGTCATGGCGGTGCAGGAAATGGCCATGGTGGTGGTGCCGGCTGCGGTATTCCTTGAAAGTGCTGCACAATTGCATCGGTAGTAAAGCCATTGTAATGTGTTCGTGAATGTTACGAGTCACTTGTGTAGTTTGATGGATGTGTCGCCGGTTTGTTTGCAGCTTCATCAAGTTTCCTTTCATGAAAAGTATTTGTCTTTTGCTGCGCACGTAAACACAATAATAATATTAGAATTAGCAATGGTTTTGTGATTGGGTGATTTTTCATAGTCTAAAGTCACTTTGCAAGAGCCACAGGTTAACTTTAATATAGTTCCAACATGATATTACAGTTCGTTGTTAGATATAGGTCTTTCGACCTTGTGATTATTTGTCAAAATAGCTAAGTTAATATCTTCATAATTATTCATACTTAATTATTTTTTTTAATTTATTAATTATGAGATAAGATAGAAGGATTGGTTTCATCAATCTTTTTTATAAACCATATATTGTTGATGAACAAACTATATAAATATTATTTTTTGAGGCTTAATCAAAATAAGTAATAAATGATAGCAAATAAGATTTTCTCAACTATACGAGGAAATCTCTTTATCTCTTGGGAGAAATTGGACATGTTAATGTATTCAAGATAAAGTTACTTCAATAAAACTTCTTCAATAATTGTTCTTATCTTTTATTTTTTTCCATCAATAAAAACGCTTCAAGATGTAATATAATTTATTTTTAAATTATTTATGATATCGATATTTTTAATTATTTTAACATAAAATTTTATTTAATATTTTGATTTATTAAATAATTTTATATTAAAAACTTAGTGGTAGAGATCTAGTTGTAAATCTTAGAATTTGAATATGATTTATAAATTTTTTATGATAAATTAGCAAAAAAAGATAATACATGCGACACTAGCAAGCAAAAGATGGCGTCACCTTATGCTTGTTATATGCTGTTTAAATATAAGTAATTAGAGAACAAAAGTTATAATTTAGTTAATCCCTATGCTGCTTTTTAGAGGAAGTGAAGGAGAAGGAGAATGAGAAAAAAAAATGCTTTGCTTTGGAATTTAAATTAATTTAATATTTTTATGAAATTAGTTCTATAAGTATTCATTCCATCTGATTCTATAGTAAATTTAATTTTTGATTTCTTCTTATTTATGAGTAATCAATAGAGTTTTATCTCTTTCTAATATCATATGTTAAGATCTTAGCAAGGGGTTGAATTAGTACTATAGCGATTCTTAATTGACTTTAAAATTTGATTGAAAAAATATATATTAAAAATATAATTAACCAAGTATTGACTGTGATAAGAGTTGCTAGTAAAATGAATGATAATAAATAAATAATCATGATAAAAAATCACAAGCAACGAAAAGAATACAAATTGACTTATAGTTGTTCAATCTTTCTGACATTACTCTCAATTTCTCTTCTCTCGAGGTTATTAGTTTTTATTATCAATCTTATTTCTAATAGGTGAAAATCAATAATCTTTTATAATATTTTTTTTTTAGCTTAGGAGAGAATCTTTACATGTTATCTTATAATAGACCTCTCACCTCCTACAACTTAGTATCATAATTAAACTTAAGAGGAATGAAAAGACTCAAACAATACTTAAAGAGAGAAATATAATACTTTACAAACTTTGAACTCTCACCTATTACAACTTAGTATCATAATTAAACTTAAGAGGAAGAATGAAAAAACTTAAACAATACTCAAAGAGAGAACTATAACACTTTACAAACTTTGAAATATATGCTCCAACAATTAAGCCCGCATGGAGCATTTATAGCCCCCAAAATGCTTTCTAAAATTATAACATTTATATTATCACTTTGGATAGTACTACCATTGTAATAGTTGAAATGAAGCCATAATTAACTCCTATGGTACTCTTGTTATAATTTTCGAAACAAAGCTACAGTGCTAGACTTCGACGTGACACGATATTATAATACTAAACTTCGACAATAATATCATTATAATTTTTGACGCTACATTGTAAAACTTAACTTTGGTAGTACTACCACTATCATATATAGTAATATTGCAGACTTAGGTAGTTCAAACTGTGTTTAGTCTTCTAATAACCTAAATTCGATTGAATTTTAAGCCTAATGACTTTCATGATAAGTAAGTTATGTTTTATTCCAATACTGATTTAAATTGGCCTAAAGTTAACTTGACTCATCAATCACTTATCAAGCATATCTTCAAAGCCTTTAGCACATTGTCCATTTTTTGGGCATATCATATGATATTTTAATACTTTGTTTGAACCTTCGGTACATCAATATTGTTGAATCTCGAAATTTGATGATGAAACCAATTGAGAGTGTTTATGATTTGATCTGCGTGTTTAAGAGACGCAGGATGCTTCGATCAGGGAGAGACAATTAAAGTAGGAAGAATAATATTGGGCCGAAGTAGAACATGTCAGAAGATTGGACGTCAAACTAGAGGATCGATCGACGTATCGATAGAAGGCTTCAGGCCATAAGTTCGGGCATCGGGCTAAGAAGAGTGAAAATTAAGCCAAGGATATCGGAGTTGCAGAGATCAACTGACCGATTGGGTAATAGGCTGTAAGAGAGGACAATGTGCCGAAGAATCAAACGAAGCATCGATGAACCAATGACATGCCGGACAACATTTGATTTGCTTTGTAATTATCTAGATCGAAGTACATTTTATTTATGCAGGATTAACTATGATAGCAATCTAGGCATAAAGCTAAATAAAGTCCTAAAGTCAGGAACGAGAATTCATTGGAAGTTCGAGAGTTTGTCGGAAGTCCGAACGTTCGTCGAAAGTTTTGTCAGAATTGACCGAGAAGTCCAGGAGCTAAGTATGATGTTATGCATGATTTTATCATGACATGTTGCTTGGATTTTTGAATCCAAGAGTTCTATCAATATGGCACATTGATAGAGGGAGTTAATTCTAACTTCGTCATCAATTAGTTGTCATCATCAAAAGGGGGGAGATTGTTGAATCGTGAATTTTGATGATGAAACTAATTGAGAGTATTTATGATTTGATCTACATATTTGAGTGACACAGGATGCTTCGATTAGGGAGAGATAATTAAAGCAGGAAGAATCATGTTGGGTCGGAGTAGAACATATTAGAAGACTGGATATCAAACCGGAGGATCAATCGACATATCAACAGAAGGTTTCAGGCCATGAGTTTGGGCATCGGGTCAAGAAGAGCGAAAATTACACCAAAGATATCAGAGTTGTGGAGGTCAACTGGCCGATTGGGCATAGGCCGCAAGAGAAGATGATACGCCGAAGAATCGGACGAAGCGTCGATGAACCAATGACATGTTGGGCAACATTTGATTTGCTTTATAATTATCTAGATCGAAGTACATTTTATTTGTGTAGGATTAACTACAATAGCAATCAAGGCATAAAGCTAAATGAAGTCCTAGAGTCAAGAACGAGATTTCGTTCGGAGTTCTAGAGTTCATCGGAAGTCTGGACATTCGTCGGAAGTCTGGACATTCGTCGGAAGTTCTATCGGAATTGATCGAGAAGTCCAAGAGCTAAGTATGATGTTATGCATGATTTTATCATGACATATTGCTTAGAATTTTGAATCCAAGAGTTCTATTAATATGGCATATTGATAAGGGGAGTTAAGGTTAACTCCATCATCAATTGATTGTCATCATAAAAGAGGGGGAGATTGTTGAATCGTGGATTTTGATGATGAAGCCAATTGAGAGTATTTATGATTTGATCTGCATATTTGAGTGACGCAGGATGCTTCGATTAGGGAGAGATAATTAAAGTAGGAAGAATCATGTTGGGCCGGAGTAGAACATATTAGAAGATTGGACGTCAAACCGAAGGATCAATCGACATATCAACAGAAGGCTTCAGGCCATGAGTTCGGGCATCGGGTCAAGAAGAGCGAAAATTGCACCAAAGATATCAGAGTTGCAGAGGTCAACTGGCCGATTGGGCAATAGGCCGCAAGAGAAGACGATGCGCCGAAGAATCGGACGAAGCGTCGATGAACCAATGACATGCTGGACAATATTTGATTTGCTTTATAATTGTCTAGATCGAAGTACATTTTATTTGTGTAGGATTAACTACGATAGCGATCAAGACATAAAGCTAAATGAAGCTCCAGAGTCAAGAATGAGATTTTGTTGGGAGTTCGAGAGTTCGTCGGAAGTCTGGACATTCGTCGGAAGTTCTGTCGGAATTGACCAAGCAGTCCAGGAGCTAAGTATGATGTTATGCATGATTTTATCATGACATGTTGCTTATAATTTTGAATCCAAGAGTTCTATCAATATGACACATTGATAAGGGGAGTTAAGGTTAACTCCGTCATCAATTGGTTGTCATCATAAAAGAGGGGGAGATTGTTAATCTCAGATTTTGATGATGAAACCAATTGAGAGTATTTATGATTTTATCTGCATATTTGAGTGACGTAGGATGCTTCGATTAGGGAGAGACAATTAAAGCAGGAAGAATCATATTGGGCCGGAGTAGAACATGTTAGAAGATTGGACGTCAAACCGGAGGATCGGTCGACGTATCGACAAAAGGCTTCGGCCCATGAGTTCAGGCATCAGGCAAAGAAGAGTGAAAATTGTGTCAAGCATATCGGAGTTGCAGAGGTCAACTAGCCGATTGGGCAATAGGCCACAAGAGAGGACGATGCACCGAAGAATCGGATGAAGCGTCGATGAACCAATGACATGCCGAACAATATTTGATTTGTGTTGTAATTGTCTAGATCAAAGTACATTTTATTTGTGCAGGATTCACTATGATAGCGATCAAGGTATAAAGCTAAATAAAGTCCTGGAGTTAAGAATAAGATTTCGTTGGGAGTTCGAGAGTTCGTCGGAAGTCCGGACATTCATTAGAATTTCTGTCGGAATTGACCGAGAAGTCTAGGAGCTTACCAAAGAAGCTCGTCGGAACTCACCAAGAAGATCATCGTGAAGTCCAACTTTTCCTACATGGAGTAGCAAGAATTGAGCATAAAATTGAGTTGAAAAAGAGGGA